TACCTGAATTGCTAGAAACTCATTTTTATAACATCGTACACATAATCTGATGAAGCATGATTTTACAGATGTGATAAACTAGGTCATGTAGGTATTACGATAATGGTGAAATATGGTCCACCAGACTTATATCATGTGGACATATATTTGGTTTATGTTTTTAAATTCTTTGTGGGCACTTTTTCATACCAATAATTTTTTTAAAGAAAAGGCAAAAAATTGCGGCTTTCTGTAAAAGGGGCGTACCGTTTTGAACCTGGAAAAAGGCTAGTGCTTTCTTTGTTCTTAAATACCTTGCGATCTTTTATTTTAGATAAAATTAAGCAACCCTCACAGGTAACAACATGTAACATTCATCAGGCCTGCAACTTTTTCTCGGATCTGCTGATTTCCTTGTTTTTTTACTTCACATGAATGCCATTACAAATTGAAAAACACTGTACAAAGTCTTGTGTGGTTTGGAGTTTCCTCGTTTTTTATAAATTCCCAGTTGCATGCCTGATTCATGTACCTTGACTCTCACTTTAAGACAAGTTATTGTAATATAATTAGTCACTGATAGCCACGGACAGCTAGCCGAGTATTGCGTTTCCAAAAACGATACCTCGCCAGATGATAACGTGCGACATGATCATCGCTTTCATATCATATCGCTAGTCCAGTTAAGTGACAAAGACACCGTGTGATTAATAAGCCATCAGGCGGGCTGGTCCCAACTTATACAGTCCGGCTACGCAACACCGACGGCCCACGACGAGATGTCACACTCCGGTGCTGAACGCGATGCAAGTCTGTCGCCTTTGTCTCATACGCCTTCCCCCACAAGTCTTCCCTCCCCTTAATTCCTCGCTGTCAATGTAACCCTTCGCTGCCTCACACCTCCCAGCATATTGCTCTTTTTAAGTTCAGCATTCCGGCCAGCTCCAACTCACACGTCACTTGATAAGCCGACTTGAGAGTAACGTCGTTGCACCACAGCTTCCCCAAGCTTCCGGGAATAATACAACAGTCTTCTTTTCCGACTTTGAAACAGTTTGTCTGGAATAATCGTACCGGTATGGCTGCACCCAAGGTATTGGTGTTATTCTTTCCATCTTTCTTTGACTCAGACAGATTTGGTGTGGACTTGTAATGCATGCCAATTGTGTCTTACGCTTGACTAACCAAAGACTCCGGCAGGAACATACGGAACCGCTTTAGGAGCAAGGGTCATGATACATGTATGTGTGTTAGATCTTTACATGTACATGTACTTGGCAATGAGTATGGAATTGTACGCACTTATAGAACAGCTGAATCTGCTTCCTATAGAAGCGTTTGTTATTTCTGGCCATGGCCAATAATGTAGACGTAACGTTACTTAGCGTATAGCTTGGTTTTGCTATCAAGTTTTTTATTGTTTCGTAGTTGTGCCATTTATGAAGAATCCTGGTTGTATAAGATTTGAAGGTTTGCATGGTGGAGATAGCAATAAGATTAAGTTTACGTTAGCACTGTGTGACAGATCTCTTAATTGTGAGTTTGTGAGGTTCTGGAAAGAACCGGGGAAACTCAATCCTCGTTGAACATGTAATGAAGAGATTGGTCTTTGACAAAATTGACTTGAATGCCAGCTTCAACCTTTACAACTTTGGAAAAGAAAATTGCATTATAAGTTCTTATTGTGGTGGTGACCAGTGGACCCACTAACAAAATTACATGTGTGTAAACAGAGGTCTTTCAGGTGAAATTGTCTTACTATATTACTCTGACATTAAGTCTTGATTCTTTTGGGTGTCTTACAAAGAGAGAACTTGCAGGAAAACGACACAAGACCGCTAAGTAAATGGTCTTAATGACCTAAGCATCTTACATGTTGGTTTTTGTTTGGATTTAAAAAATGTAAAAGGAAAACATAAATCAGCTTCGCAGTTATCAAGCCCCCTCTTGAGACACAAATTAGATTGTGAAAAGCAATTCTACCTCAACGAACTTAATATTCCGCTCAAATACTGTTTTTACACATTCGCTCAGGCAGGGAACAAACATGGACTTGACACACTAATGACCTTTAATGCAATTAAGTCCGCGTCCAGTATGCACGCACACAATTAGTCGTGGAGCACCCTCCACTTGACAAACAGTGCTTGTTATTGCAATCTGCAGAACAAGCATTCCCAACGCACATGCTTCGCACCGAGATTTGTGTCGGCACATGAAAAGCGTATATGAACAAAAAAATTATGCCCGCGTAATTCTATTTATTGAACAGATGAAGAGCTGTATTTGTGAAGATGGACAGGTTTTGAGGTACATAGGAAGGGAGACCGTGAATATTTACATGTAAGATAACAGTCTCACTGTTTCTAGACTTGGTGAGCGTGAATTAATTTTTTGCAGCACGTATTGGTATATAAGCTTTAATAGCTGTGGGGGATAGAAAGTGCATGGAGGCAACCTTTCACGTGTGGGAGTGAATTTGATCGAAGGCAAGAAAATAATAATTGTAAAAGTATCATTGCAGATATCATTTTAATGGTGTGAAGTTATCAAGACTGTCTATGTGAAATGTCACGTACTTGTATGATTTACTGGCTGTGGAATACATTGTGTGGAGAGGATTTGTGAGTGGGTAGGCTAAACAGTACAATTTATATTTCATGTAATGTCACTGATTGCAGTTTGAGCTGATTTTATTCAAGCCGGCCAGCCAGCCCTGGCAAACTCGGTTCATCTGCACAAATAAGCAGGGGGGTTTGGGGACTGGAGTCCTACTGAGTTTGATTGTAAAAAGTTCAGAAGCTCAAAACCACACCTGTAAGTAACTGTAGGTAGAGAACACAATACAGCATTGAACAGTATGAAAAGTTTAAATTTGGCTCCGACGGAACTGTAACATATTTTAGAAACCATTGTCAGCTCAATGTCTTCCAAACATTGAGCCAAAACTTTAAGATTGGGTGTGTCTTAGACACGGAGTGAATGGCCCTTTTCGACATCAAATTACAATGTAGCTTCTTTCTTTACATGTAGCTTTTTGTTGAAAATTCATTTTGATGGACCTATGGCGTTCACTCAGGAATGAGATTCTGCCGAACGAACGACAACTCTTGTTTAAATAACAAATCTACCCGCATTGATGTGAGCTACATGAACTAGTGTATTGTCAGTCTTTCAGTATAGGTTAAAATATGTGTTCTTTGCTTACTCAACTTCTGCATAATGTCATATTTACTGTGGTAAATGTCAACTCTGACAGGCCTAGCACATTGCAATGAATCACTTTTACTGCCAGCCATTACCTCGGTCATTTTCCCCTGACTGTCTTTTTTCCCTTCTTCCTGGGTTTAATCTCCAGTAAGCCATTTTTATGATCTTCCAACCAAGACATGACTCCAAGACATAACCAAGACAGTTTGTGATTTTTGGGGGTGAAATGTAAGACTAGAATGAGTTTTTCCGATGAGCTAAGGAAAGTAGTACATGATACATTGATGCTTGATTACTTGTGATACCCGCACGACTGCAGGACAAGAGTTTTTACTAAAAAAGAGAAGAGCGAAAACGTGGATGATATTCTTCGGCAGTTCGCATCAGCGATGGATCGATATATCTTCCTCTGAAAAGGTTTCGCCAGTTTTGCCATTTGCGTCATTGCTTACACAACCCGATGCCATTACGTGAAGCTTGAGCTGAGCATCTTCCCGTTTTCCTTGAGAATTAGGAAAAAGGAGGGCTTTACCCTGGAAATATTAACTGTTTACGACCATTGAGATAGATGGCCATAAATGACCATTTGTAGTATAATCTGCACTTCCTGTTTTTGATTTTGGATGGATAAAATCTGCTAATGGGACCAGTTTTTAAGCTAAAATATCTGAGGCAGATAATCTGCCTGTACTTTTATGGATATTAGACAGTTGGGCGTCTGATATAAAGTTGTGCCATTCCTCGATTGCGAACAAAACAGTTTTATCAGGTCAGTGGATGAACTGTATACATGTACAAGTGTACATGTACTGCTTGTACTTATGCCGCAGTTGTCTTTTAGAGGATCACAGGTGAGTCGGGCCATCAGTCGTGTTCGTTTTGCAGTTTTCTCAGACTCCAGTATTTTGTAAGCAGAATTTGATTTTTGGTCACAGGAGCCAATATCCTGTACATTTATCTGCTAAGCGCAGAATTTGCTGAGGTTAGATGTGTGCTTAGTACAGAAATTAGTTGCCTGTGTACAATTCCAGCATTGTGTACATGTAATATCATTATGACAGAGAGCTCAGTGAATAAACCTGAAAATGTATTTCTCAAATCGTACACATCAGTCATCTAGTAATGGTCAAGGAGATTACAGACTAAGAGTTTTGGATCATTTGTCTGAATCACTAATTATATACAATGAATGGTTAATTGGCCCTGAAGTAAGCTGGAATTGCCAAATCTGACATGTACATTTACTGGCCAAAACAACAAGTGATATTGCTTGAGGTTGGTCTCATTTTTTTTTCTTTTCTTTTTTCGCTTAGCATATGAATTTAAAGAGCAATATTTTCTGTCGCCAGTCCACTGCCCATTGTTTATTTTGACAAAGCTCGAACTGTGAAAAATTCCGCTGGTTTTGATTGGCTACTGTTAATGATACTTTGATGGCCGAGCATGGCCACGCCTTCGCATCGCTAAGAACTTGATGGAGATACCATCTTTGGCAATCCCTTTTGCATCGGTGGGGCTGGGGGCGGTTTCGCGGCGACCATGCCCGGTCAGGTTGCATTCGTCAGTGACTCCAGAGTCAAGAAGCGAAATACCACGTGGCATTCTCCATGTTATTGATGAATCGGAATGGGATGTTCCAGATCTGATTTGAGGCTTCGGAAACCATTACCAGATTGAAGCTGAGATTGTTTAACTGTCGTTCGACCAGACATGTGGCTAGAGATTTTGGAATTTGATTGATTTTTTTGGATATGGGGGATATTTTTTAAGTTGGAGTGTTAACGATGGCCGTTTATCTCCCTTGTTCACAGCAGCATCCGATGCCCGCCATGGCAGGCCAACACCAACTCCCCGGCCAGTTGGCCGCCCAGATGCCGGGCCAGCTCCCCGCTGGTCCCTACCAGCAGCAGCAGCCCCAGTTTGCCCAGAACGGCCTGGAGGGTTACCAGCAGGCGCCCCAGATCCAGCCCCAGTACACCGCCACCGTTGTGCCCCAGCCAGCCGACGTGCCGGCCGTTTACACCCAACCCCAGGAGGGACCGGGTCCCCAGCCCGTCTACAGCCAGCCCCAGCCCTCGGGGGAAGGGGCTGCAGTGGGGTTCGTTCAGGGACCGCCGCCCACTGTCAGCGGGGAGCAAGCCGGGGCCACGCCCACATTCAGCCAGGTACTGGTCAGGAATTACGTAAGAATGTTTCAAATATTTTTATTTTGATTCTGTTTCTGTTACTTTCCTTTGTTTTGTGTTGGTGTTTCCGTTCAGTATTTCAGTATTAGTATCAGTACTTCATGAATAGAGTTTGTTCCATTTTTAATCAGCATGTACGCACTGAAAGCAGGTTCAACATGTAGAAACTTGTCATTGCTTGAATCATAAAATTTGCTTGTTGTTAATTTTAAATTTTTTATTTAAAGGGGTCATGAAATGAATTTTTCTTAGGAACACATTTTGTGCAACTTTCTACTCCTCTTAAATGTATTAAAATTATTGGACATCCCCTTTTGGTTAATTTTATTGAAAAGTGTACCTCTGTAAACTTTAACAAAATGTCCATGCTTTTCAGGACAACTGAGCGCGCTGTTGCTATGATGTCATTTCAGAAAGACACTGTTCAGATGAAGGTTTTTCTGTTTAGATTGTGAACCCAAAATTGTGTTCATTGAAAACATTTGTGAGAACAGTTTGCTCATTGGCTTACTGCCATGCACGACACAACGAATCACCAAAGAAAAAGAAAATCTACAACAGCAAAATATCCAAACAATTTGGCAACTTTTGGTGCTGAAATACATGTAGCTGCAACATAATTATGACGTCACATAATTATTTGCTCATGAATATGGAAATTGCAGCATAAAAACCAAAAAGCCACCAAAATACCCTTGAAAATGGCAAAATGAAATTTGAAAATAAGGTTAAATGGGACACAGACCTGCATTGTCAAGGATGGCATTAAAAAAATTACATCGCATGGGCTCTTTATAAAAAAAATTTATTCAGTTTTTGATTTATTTAACTACATGTACTTTATTTTGTTCCTTTTTTCTTTGTTGGTTGCTTGTTACAGTTCAGCCCCGTATATTATTAACCCTAACCTGTTACTTTGAAATGAATAACTTCAAGAAATTATTTTTAAAAATTACAAAACAAATTGAATATCAAATTATTCAAACATGCACGGCACTATCACAACGCCACTGTAATAATCATGAGTGTAATGATATATGCATTAGTTTTAGTCTGGTCTTACTGGCTTTAGGTCATTATTCTCTTGTCACCCTTGTTTCACTTGATGGTACCTGAGCGTGTCATCATTTGTCGTCGCAAACGATGGCACTCATTTACTACATCCATCACTGGTTCCCGACACCCACCCATCACCTCGGAAACAATCACTCACATCTAATTTCGGAGTCGCTGTGGCATTGGTTTTTAAGGAGTGTTTACTGTTCAAGAACGCTTCCCTACTAAAATATTTGTGATTATGTGGGCGGGCTGGATCAAAAGGTGTAAAATCACGTCGCCCCCCCCCCCCCCCCCCCCCCGGCCCCACACACACACACACACCCACGTGTGTAAATGCCGGCAATCGTGGACGCCCCATTGTCCCTAATCCTCTTTCCTTTGTTTGTACTCTAACTTTTTAGCGACAGCTCTCATTGGTTTTGTACACGATTTGAGATCGTGGCATTCGGTCAATCGTGGATGTATTGTTTGCGCCCAATTCTTTTGTCGTACGTCCCCGATTGCCGGTGTTTACATACTCACACACACACACGCCCCCCCCCCCCCCTTAAGATGAGTACCCTGGCTACGCCGCTGACTATGACGGCAAGTTCTTTAAAAATCATTCCTCGTGCAATTTTCAAAAAGCATCCCGAAAATTAGATTCCTTTTCTAAATTTTTTTTTTTTTCTCTAGCATGCAATTCAAAAGTTATTCACTTTGGAATGAGACCAACAAAATTGGCCAATGTTTAGTTATTGAATTATTACTTGACAATTTTGAATTATTGGCACTCTCATGAATGATTCATGAACTGGTTTTTGTCTCATGTTCTCCAATAGGCCTGGGCGAGTAGTGGATTTTCCTACCCGAGTACTCGCAGAGAATTTACTTGCGAGTAGTCGAGTACTCGCAATTAGTTGACTAAATTCCCATAAAAACAGAAACGATGGCATAAACATTACTAATTGGGAAGTTACTACGAATAAACGGCGTGCAAGACACACCACATTCTACAGCACTGAGATATCCTAACGATGCAAATTTTGGCTTATTTTACTTCAAAATTTATTTGTTGAGAGTGCTAGTGGAATCCCAAGGAAACAGATGGAGGTAGTCATTCCTTTATTGCGGGACGTATTAAGACAAAAGACAAGTTTGGCGCAGAAACCACAAATTGGTTACTTTTTTCTAAGTCAGAATTTAAAAAGACAAATGCTACTCGCCAGTACCTACTTCTACTCACACCAGGACAAGTACGGCACTCGAGTAGATGAAAAACCACAAGTAGAGCAAGGGTAGCAAGGATACTTGCCCAGCACTATTCTCAAACACAACTGTCTGTCCAACCATGGTCCAACATTGTATCTACCGGGTACTTTATGAAAGTACTATGATTCGTGTACAGTAATCAACAGGACGTCCCTCACAGGTGTCATGACTAAGCTCTAAGGGAAATTGGATCCGGGTACAACGTGTGAAATCACTCAGTTTGGAAAAGTCAAATCCCTTTTCCTTAATTTCACATGGTCACTAATGACTACTGTGACCTTTATCCTTTCCATTGTTGCATGGCATTTAAACCCTTAAACAATGTCCTGTCTCTGTGCCCCAGTTAACTTTTTTTTGTTAAAATATGTATATAATATTTAGACAAAGGTTAAACCAGAAATTCAGTGCCACAAAATATCAAGCACTAAGCTTCAGGAGATCAGTTTTTTAACAGCTCCTGTAAATATGCAGTGTATGAAAATTTAACATCATAACTCCAATTGCTGTTAGATAATGTGTTAGTTGCTCCATCTTTTGTTCAATACACGTATAATTGAAAGCAACTTGTCAGTTTTCCAGATTACCAGAGAAATTGCATAAGAACTTAACTTTTCTTTTCCTTGCACCCTACTTTCTCGAACTCTCGAACGCTTCGATTTTGTATTGAAAAATATACCCATCCATCTTTTCTTTGATTTTTTAAAAACAGGTCTTATTGCTTTCCACAAACTTAATCCAGCCCCCTAAGACCGTTTGATTATCTCCACTGACAAATAAAAGCTTAAGCAGTTCAGCTGAACTAGAAACTTAAGATGATGAACTGAACTACATCTGTAGGCCTGTCATGATATGTCATCCCCTTTTGGACATAAGAATAAATAACTTGTGCGATCTTGGAGAAAAAAAGGCGGCTTAGTGCTGTGTATTACTACTAAGAAGATAAAAAGGGTTGTTTTTCTTCATTTTTTGAATTTTTGTTTTTGATTAGCATGCCTGAGAATTATTTTTCGAAGCTAAGAAAATATTCCATCAGTTTTGTATGTCAAATCTGGCAATTTCCATGAAGTCAATAACCCAATGTGGGACTGAATCAAGGGATGTTCAAATTCTCGGATCGCATTTGTTCCACATGTTGACTCCACTCCACTTCCAGTGCTCAGACTTTTTCCCGTACAGACCACCTTTAAGTAGCCAATATTTTGAATGAGGGGGGGGGGGTGGGGTGGGGGAGGGGGTGGTTTCATCGTCTAGATATTTCCGTCTCGGGCCGAGGGGCCTCGGGGTTGCTGAAAGGGCGGAACGAGATCTGACGATATCGCTGGGATGTTGGGTGAATAAAGGGCTTAGGTGGAGCGGACGGGATACGGTCATGATATCTCCAGAATCGATGCGGACTGATTCCAGCGACTGATCATTTGTAATAGTGCTTTTGGAGGTTTTGCATAATTAACCTGATTTTATGCCGGTGACATAGTGGGGGCCTTTTGACAGTGCCGTTGGAGCGTACCTCGTACGAGCTGCTTTATCTCAGGTGCGATTTTTGCTCCTCAAAGTCGGACATTTTTGCTCCTCAGACGTTTTGAATCTGGCATTGATTATTTCAGGACGCTGTCATAACAATGTTGGGACGGTCCAAGTGGACTTTGGTTTGGATCTTCGGGAGTAGAACATCTCTCCAGCTGTCTGGAAAAAAGTGCTTACAAAGTGCGTTGTACTTTCTGCCTGCAGTATGTATCAGAATGTACATCATCTGTTATTTACCAAACATAAAAGGGCAGTTCGTACCTCACGTCAAAACCACATGCAAAGGGAATTTCATGTCGTCAAACTAGAAGTATTATTGTGATTGCCTTAACCTTAGAGAAAGCCTCTGCTTAACAAATTGAGTTAAGTGAGAAACAGGCTGCATGTATGTGTCTACTGTTAAACATCATTTTGCAATTTCCGGAAGATGAAAATTTACGCGAAGTGCTGACACTAGACAAAATTGGCAAGATTCATACGCAGGCAATGTGTACAAGTACATGAAGCAGCCATCTTAGATCCTGTTCTTTGTTATTTCAATTCAGTAACAATGAAAGGTCTACTTACCGGTATATGTATCCCAGTGGAACAAAACCATTGCCCTCTGTAATGGCCGTTACGCATAGTATTAGAATTGTGTTGGGCTTCCTCCCAGTTACGCGTACACATGTACAATGTAGTGGGATACTTCAGTGTAAACCCTTGCTGTTTAATTAAAATTCCCTGCTTGTTCGAAGTACAATGTACATTTACTGAGCTGGCTAGTTTTTGGGAAAAGCAATTTTAATCAGAACTCGGAGTATCCCTGAAGTCTTATGTCGGCCTAGTTCCATAATTATCGCCCCTGTGGGGGTAAAGAAACAATTACGTAAATGGCGCACTGCTGAATTTTGACTCCAAAGATCGGAAAGCTTAACTCGAGAACATGGTGCATGTCTAAGAAAGCTTGCATTCTGCTATCAATCGAAAAAGATTTGCAATTTCAAACGTACATGGATCTTGTCGCATTGTGAATGTCATGCGTGGGACAGCATTTTGGTCTTGAAGGACACATATATTTGCAGTCTGGAGGCAAGCTGCCTCAGAAATCATGAGCTTACATGTACGTGTACATCTACGTGCTTGCAATTGACGATTGGGCAGAGACAGAAACTCAGAATATT